ACGTCGAAGAGGGAAGGACTCGGAGGGAGGGCAACAAGGATACGAGCGAAAGAGAGAAGCAGGTGGAGAGAAAGGGACTAGAATCCGAAACCACGTAATCGGAATAGTCGATTCCGACAAGCCCGTTTGCTCCGTAGGCAGCCTCCTGACTCCCCCCTCCACCCCGGATCATCTCCCTTTCCTGAACATCCCCCTCGGGTTGGTCGCGTGGATACGTGGTTGAACCACCACGAGGATACCGTATAATTATCGGATGCCAGGTAACTCGAACGCTCTCGGCCGCTTTTAATTGGCCAATTATCGTGGCGCGAATAGAGGTGGCAGCCCGGTGTCGTCGCTCCAGATAGGCATGAACCTTTTGGGGTGGCCGGTGTACAACGAGCGACGCAACGCGTCGCCGACTTTTCTCTCTGACGGTTATCTTTTGGCATCGTTGACCCTGTCCAACAAGGGACAGCAAGATCCAGGTTGCGACTCCTACCCTTTGTGTACCTACACGTGCACCACGCTTGTGTGCGTGACGCTGAACGGGATCAGAATCGGGAGCAACGGGCGCAAATTGGTCACGGATGGTCTGTTCGATCTCCGTTCCAAACTACCCCACGCCCACCTTCTATACCTCTCTGTTTCGCCTATCATCTCTTATTCCGTACCGACTCTCTCATAACTTGCGATCATACGTGCTTCTACATATGATCGAGTCTGTGTACATTCTAACTACGCTACATCAGTTTATGGCTCGCTTCATCTACATCTATATTCTTCTACGTCTTCCACGTCTCTTGCTACTTTGTTAAAGTGTCCTTGCACAGCTCTTTGGATATGGTCACACCAAAACGCTATCAAATGAAAGTTACATGAAATGGTTAGACATAAACGTTAAACCCTTGCTATATAATATAAATATATATGTTAAAGTCTTTGGACACGTGTCCTTGCACAGCTCTTTGGATATGGTCACACGAAACGCTAACAAATGAAAGTTACATGAAATGGTTAGACATAAACGTTAAATCCTTGCAATATAATATAAATACATAAATATATTTTCTAACTATCTTAAAATAGTTAGAACGATATTAAACTTCAATTACTATCGAAGAACATATATGAAGAACGTACCTCGGTCCACATGTTGTGACGCAGCCTGTATGTTTACGTCTTTCTCTATAGTCCTTGCCCTCTCTATTCTAGCTTCAGCTCTATCTACCTATCTCTGTTCTCCGCCATTTAATACGACTATCCCGCTCAGTTTCTACCTCCTTTCGCCGGTCTAGCCATCCATCTATCCGCCTAACTTTACTCCTCGACTCGTGTACCGTTTCAGAACTATTAGGAACGCTCGCCTAAACCCACATCACTTTGGCAGGTAGGGTAATCCGGTAGCTCACCTGCGACCTCGCAACCCCTACATCACGGTTATTCGACGATTAACAGACACTTTTTTTGCTTGACCACTTGTACTTATTTACATTTAATAGCACTTGAGCTTTACATACTTATTAGGCACTTTAATGTACTTGAAGAAATTGGAGTTCAATTTGAGGTTTGGGAAAAGGTGGTTTGGCAGAAGGTGTGTTGGTGCAAGGTTTAAATTGTAGTGATACAAGGTTTAAAATGTAGTGATACAAGGTTTAGAAAATGTATTAGTACAAGGTTTAGTTGTGTATTGACACAAGGTTTGACAGAATGTGATGTAGTGATGGTACATTTAATATATGGACATAAGGTAAAGTAACCTACTGGTACAAGTTTTAGCAAACTCTTTTGACAAATAGTTTACATTGATGAACATAAACATTGATAATACATAAATAAACTATAAATGCAGATGACTATAGTTTATACACAATCATGTGAGTACATATGTGCATACATGTACACATATGTGTACCATAAGTAATTTAGCAATCAACGAGTGCAGTTAGTTTACCAATCATAATCAGTACGATGAGTGATGATTATTAGCTAAAATAAACAAGCTGAATATGATCAGTGAGATTGACTACCTCAATAATTGATTCAAACTATCCAAAACAAATGACAGGAAAATTTCGACGCCACATCTGAGCTCACATGATCTGCACTGCCAACTTACCAGACTTTGAAAACTTTCTCCCACATGTCAAAACGCAGTTCTTAAATTGTAAAGTGGTCTTTAATAAACGTATAACTTTTGAAGTAGGTATTTCTAACCTACTCGGTGTCAGAGCTCGCGAGCTAGGTCTTTATTTCGATTTGTAAGAAGCGTTTTGTGATGGTGTAAAAGCGTGGAGTGGCACGCGCGGCTCACACGCGGTTACATTGTCGGTGTAAATTTTTAATTAAGCTCCGTTGGCCGGCTGCAAATTGAGCTACCAGGCTGGCTCCGGCGTGGCATTCAATGCAGTAAATTCAGCGTGCGGCGGCGTACGTGTCATTTACGAATTAAATTAATTTGTTAGTTCTTATGCGGTGGCCGGAGAGCCGGCCTGAAATAAATTTACGATAATGCTCATTAGCCGGGGACGGGCTCGTACGCGAAAATTAGTCGGCGGCTCCGGCTATTTGCGCGGGCTGAAAATCATTCCCGATCCGCCACGGCGAAACGAGATACGATTACGTTTATATATTACCTACCGTTCTCGACCGGGAACATCTGTACGTTCGAAGTAAAACGCGCCCGATAAAGCGACCGTCGGATTATAAATATTTGATCTGCTTCATTATGCTATCGATTCGCGACGAGAACCGACTCTCACGCTACCTATTATTACAGCTTATTAACGGGGATCAACGAAGGTGCTTGACCGCCGGCTTTTCAACGGGTTAAATTAACGATCGACAAAGGCGAGAGAATAAAAGAGAATGTGCGGACAAAAAAATCGTGTAAACGTTGCCTTTTTCGTTAAGAAAGCGCTAGTTTTGCGGTAAAGAAATAATTTGACCATTGATGAATTTAAAAAACCACATGCGAGCAAAAATTTTGTTCATACTTGCTCTCCTAGAATGAAGAGTTCTCCCTTTGTACACTTTGAAGTTTACAAAGTGCAAATTACAAAATCTTTGAAGAAAATATATCTCTCGCGTGGAAACCATTAAACAGCAAATTGTCTCAGATCGAACACAATTAATCATTATCTTCTCCAGAAGGCATCGTAAACGGTACCTAACGTTCATGGATCGATAGCAGTCTCCCTACCTTACGCAATTTAAAGACAAACGACTAAGACCCTTATCATCCCCTTTCATCGTCTAATTGGCTCTCGCCTACGTTTCCGTAACCTTTCGTCCATCTCTGAACGCTCGAGCGGTCATCGTGTAGGCAATGAAAATCGTAGCTCTCGAATTTCGTGGAAAGAATCGATGATCGTAGTAGCGGCGTCAATCTCGCCGAGCGATTGGAGCTAATTCGATGACGATTCGAGGATAGCTTCGACATGAACGCGAATCGAACGGCAAACAAAAGGGACAGTATATATAAGAGAGGGAGAGAGAGAAAAAGGGGAAAAATCGCGGGGAGAAGGGTTAGAGGAGAGACGAGGGTGGGTTCGGTATTGCAGGCTCATCCGCCGGTTACGTTCGATTGGCTGGCAGGGCGGTAGGCCAGCAATTACCTAAATGGTCGGGTAAACAATATCCGTGCGCCGAGTTAAGAGCGGCGGCGGCGGTGGTAGCAGCAACAGCACCATCACTACCAACACCACCGACGGCAACACTAGCAACGCTAGCGATAGCGGCTCTACCCGTCGGTCGGTCGACTAGCCAGCCATACACGGTATTGGTCCCGGCTCGTTCCGAGTTAAAGACACCGTGGAGAAGGACAAGGAGCGAAATTACGTGCGAGAAGGAGGCCGAGAAGGAGACAGAGTATGCCCGACGTAGCCACGATTATACTCCCGGCACGATAACTGTACACAACGATTCCTAGGTGAGGAGCGCTCCGCCTCCGGCCGCGAACACACCAAGATGAT